CCTGAAGAAGAGGAATTATCTTCAAGCTGTGGTCTTCATGCTGGACTTAATTTTCAATAGCATAGGTGCTATTATCCCTACCCGGGTCATAAAAATGATTGCAGGTTCACATGTCAAATCCTTAGTTAAGGTTGGAAATGATTTTGATTTTATATGGAAAGGCACCTTTCTGGAAAAAACTCCTACATATCTCTGAGCAAATTCTCCTGGGTCATGGCAACCAAAATAGACTTAGAGGTTTCTTTAAAAACATTGCAATTCCATATTTGTCCGAAGTTTTTCAGAAACTCTACATCGTTAAAAGCAAACTGACAACTACATAAACACATGGCGCAGCAAGTAGCTCTGGGCAAAACTCACCTTCACATTTGCATGTTAAGAATAAAGTACAGACCTTTGACAATCAAGATGGTCAGCTCTTGGACAGAGAGGGACGATGTTTTGAAACAGGTGGAGGAAGAAATATTTGTTAAAAGAAAATAGACATTACAAAACAGGGGGAGGATTTTGATTTTAGCTTCCAATCACATACAAGATGTTTTGGAACTCATTCTAAAGCAATTAAACAGGGAGTGTTATCATTATTCAAACGGCCCAATACTTTAAAAAAACAGCAGACTCCAACAACTCAGGAGAAGGTTGGTCACTTATTTGCATCTGAATCAGAATTTGCTTAAGAGGAGGAGCCTCCAAATGTCAAAACAACAGTGCTCTAAATATGTCCGTGTGTGTTTGCTGGCAGAATCGACAAAGACTCCATGTCAGGTGTTGAAGCATTTTCAGAAAAACTGGAGTTGCTAAAGAGATTTCACAGCACTGTAAACATGCACAATGGAAAATGGCAACCATGAAAAACAAGAGGGAAAAATGGGACAAAAGAGAAAAGAGAACAAAAAAAACATTAACTAGAAACCAATAGAAAGACCAAATAGACACTGTTAGAGGAGGCTTCCAATAGCCTGACAGCAACACTGAACCAGATGTTTAACTTTTTAGCTGGGATGCAAACTGTCTTTAATACTTAAGAATAGCGTCCTTAATTCTTTAATCATCTGGATTAAGGACTAGTAGTAGTAGTTTCAAGACCAGCAACAGAAAATTATTTATTTAGATTATTAAGAGTTTAGTTATTGAGAAACTTTGTTGAATTTGTGTGGTTTAGAGTTTCTAAAGACATGTTGCTTATTGAATAAAAACATTATTTACTGTAAGGAAGTTAAAAGGGCGGAAAATATGCAGTAAACAGGCATTTATTCTTATATTTTAACCAGATTTGTAACCTCATAAGGAGGTTATGGTACTTTCCCTAGGAATTCTAACACCCTCTTGCTTCCAGGTTGGAGCTCACAGGTGATGGTCTCTTTGATCCAGAGCTCCAGTATGTTTGATTTGGCTCCCATGTAACAGCACCTGGCCAACAAGGCAAGTTGTAAGGCTTCTTTACAATCTTCGCTCCAACCAACTGGAATAAATACTCCAAATGTACTATTGTAAGAAGAATAAAGACTGTACCTCCCACCAGACAACCGATTCTGTTAAAAATTATGGTTTTATTTCAAAAATTTGTTCAAGTTTTTTTTGTTTAAACACGTTTTATGAATGCAGGTGGCTGAGCTGGTAGAGCTACAGGTAAATCACCTGCTAAAAGACCACAGAAGTTCAGTGCTGCTACACACCTGGAATACATATTTATTCCTGGGATAACTTGTACAAATACACAAGTTATTTTGTGGCCACCTCTTGCTATAAAAGCAAAGGGACCCCTTTCAACTTTTTCTTCTCTTGTTTCTGCCTCATTTGGTCCACAAAATTATTTTAAAATAGTTGTTCCTCTTTAAAACCAGACAGTGTGTCCTTTCATTACTCTGAAAATAGGAACTGATTCGGCCATATAACCGTCTCTTTACCCTAAATTGCTTATGTTTGTTAGTCAGGAAAAGGGGATTGTCAAAAGTCTTGAAATCAATCTCACTGAGACCCACTGAGCACAGCTGACTCTGAGTTTGGAATCCAGTCTGTTTTCCTTCCCTGGTTTTCCTGATGAATGGGGCTCTTTCAGTTCACAGTCCTCTGTATACTCTCCTTTAGTTTGACCGAAGGTCTTACCACCTTAGCTTGGCAGCCTATCCTCTGCCCAGCGACCTTTATTTTCTCCCCAAACTAATCAGAGAATTAGGGGTTACATTTTTTATCCAAACACACCTGGAAGAAAGGAGACCAGCCTTAAGCTTTTTTGATTGGTTGTTTATTGTTTGACTGTGATGATGGGAAACAGGTTCTTCATTTAAAGAACAGGAAAGCTTAATAAAAGCTACGGACTTCCCTCAGCAAAAAACATGCATTTATAACAAAAACAGTAAGCATGCTCTTAGCTTGCGGAATTATATTGCTTTATGTTTGATCTTGAGTATAATCATAACCATATATATAGACATACTTAACATTTTCTGATCAAAATATACACTTATGTGGCATTGAGTTGTGTATCATCCATTCTACATATTGTGGACCTGCAGTTACCAAAATGCAATGACAAAGAAGCTGGTATAAGTTTTGTCTATTTAGAAGCAAGCTAATCATGTTCTTTAAGGTAAACATCTCTTTTTTTCCCCCAGATTAAAATGCAAAATGAATGGAGTACTGAATTGTTCCAAAAAGTAAAAAAAAAAAAACAAACAATCCACTGAACCTTATGAACGGGTCCATCCCTTAGTAATGGGGGTTGTTTGGTTTTTTGTTAGCCTGTAATACCCGGAACCTGTCTATGTCTCTGAAAGGGGGGGTCATTAAAGGGAATTGTTGGCCTGGCTGAACAGCGAGGTGCTCTGTTCCACTGTAATGAGGTGTGGGGGTGCGATGACAGCAGGGAGGAATCAGTCAAAGAGTCATTGAATTGTAGGTTTTTGAAAGCTGACATCTGAGTCCATCGCCTCTGTTTAAGGTTGTTTTTTTCTGTTAAAGGTTGGTTTCCTTCACACTCCTCTCAAACCACCTATCATCTTTTTCCAAAATGTGGAAATTCTGGTTCTTTAATAAACAATCAGTTGTTCTAACACACAATCTACAGTCCTTGTCAAATCAGTTCAATAATAAAATAATTAATACATTTCAGTTTTTCTTGAACGAGCATGTCCAATGAATCGTCAGTGTCTTTTTATAAAAAGTTTGACAAAATATCCTTTTTCAGCACATGAAAGACCAGGTGGATAAAATATATGACCCAACAGGAAGAAAACAATTGAGCAACTTAAATTATTTATTAGTCTTGATAGTATACTGTAGGCTTCCACAGTAGAAAAGTAAAAGTTTACAGCTGAAGATCCCCTGATGCTCCTTCTTTTTTGTGTGTTCTGATTATACAGGCTCATTCTGATCAAAGCAGACAGGAGAAGTTGTCTCTTATTCAGAAATCCAAATCCTAATCCTTTTTTTTCCTTATTGTGGAGCAGCCAGGACACCATTGTTTGTGCATTTCCATGGAGGGTCCGCCAAATTAAGGGCCATCCCAAACCATGTAGTGGGTAGTTAGTGAGTCTGTATGAATGCTGGCTCGCTGGAATACGTGGATTCAAATGTAAGTTCAGAAAATCACAAGTTAGGAAGAAGAAAAAAAGATGTAATTAATTATAAAAGGAAAGCTCCTCTTTCAAATAGTTTTATTTTACCATATTAATCTTTTTAAAGAAAGGGGCAAATATATAAAACTGTAACCGGAGCATTTAACAAAAGTAATTTCCCTCTGGGATTACTAAAGTATTTCTGATTCTGATAGCCACAGAGCTGCAGCCCCATGGCGTCAGTGTGTTACCATAGAAACGGATGCTTTCCTTTGCCCCTGTACCTCCCTCCCTGCTTTCCATAGCTGGTAGTGTGACTTCGTTAGGGAGACACTTACTTAGTGATTAGGGGTCTTTCTTTCTTTCTTTGCTTCGCTTCGTTGCGTTGTAAGAAACCGGGAGTCAACGCAGCGACACTGTAATAAACTACATCTCCCATGATGCACCACATCAGTGAGAGGAAATACATCCGGCAGCAGAGTTCACCATGTGGAGTTTAGTTTAAATAATTCCGTACAGCATGTGGCTAGATTTAATGACAAAATCCTTCTCTCTGTAGTTTTATTTTTTTCTGTTTGATTATTTTTCTCCGCTTTAAACATGTCTGTGAACGCATCACAGCTGGATCTGACCCAGCTGATCTACCGCCATTTGAAGGAGCATGGTTTCATTTCAGCCGCTGAGGAGCTGCACAGGCACAGCCCACAGGTCAACACTGTTCACACATTTACAAAACACACACACTGCCGCATAGGTTACAAGATTGCAGCGTTTCAGTTTACCAAAATGTACCAAACTCCTCACTTCTCCAATCAGGCATAATTTATCTCATTTATATTAGTGAGAGTTTTCTATTTCTCTCATTCACCTGAGTAAAATCGATATACAGAGAAAGTGAAAAGTTAGAAAACCAAAACTGACAGAAAGTGAGGCCTACTGAAATGGGTTGATGGTTATTACAATGTTTTTACTAATATGCACATTGTTTTACTGTTGAATTTAGAATAGCAGCTCAGTTCAACTATTATAATCATTAGTAACTATGTTATGATCAGCTAAGATATGGCACTAAAACACCAGAGTTTAATTCAAGAAATTAAAATTCAAAAATTCTCTATTAATCCCAAAGGGAAATTAAATAAAATTCAGTTTTAGTATAAATTATTATTTAATTCTTTATTCATTACTTGTGTATCTATAGTATAGATTTGGTTTCATTCAGTATGCTTTGTTAAAATTGTTCATATGAGTTAATATTGGATCATTTTTTAATCATTTTTATTTGTAAATATCACACTGGTATAACAACATTGGGAAGTTTGATCTATAGTAGACTTGCAGTCAGCAGTGACCTTAAACCTGAATTTGCAGGTAGATTAGTTAAACGTCAGGATCTTTGATACTGGTTATCGGTCAGCTGCTTGCTCAGAATAAGAGCTGGGGATTTATTTTTTTTTTTTAAAGTTGCTTTTATACCAGTATAACTCTACATGAACTTAAGAGGCCTGTGTTTTCTGTCAGTATTACCCTAAAATCATATAATTTATGTTAATTATGTCAGTTTTGTAGTTTCCTAGATCCAAACCCAAGAAACCCCAGAAAAAGATCATCCTAAACAGGTTAAATGCAGTGAGAATTCTAAAACTTTCTAAATTAAAATTCAGCTGCTATGGAATATCACGTTTCTTGATGTGGAAATTTTGAAGCAGGATGACTTAAAAGTATTCTTAAAAATAATTATAAAAACTTCAGCTCTAGGAATCCAATTTAATCCAATAACACCTTGCTGTAACATGTATATGTAGGAGAATATGCTGTAAAGAAAGTAGAGCCCAGAAAAGGTTTCATATACTTTGATTTCAATCATTTGTCACATATATACTGTCTGGATTACCTCACACTAATGGTAGTTAGCAATATACATGCTAAATATGTGATGTACATGAAGTTATTTACCTACAGCACCGAACCAAACCCTCTGGGATTTAAAATAAATTGTTTTTTAGGAAGCTGAACACATTGAATACAAAAAGGGTGCAGTTTTCTAACAGGAAGCTATGAAAACTGTTTTAAACAATGCAATGTTAATCAATATGTGTTGTAGCGGGATAAACCTGTAAACACTTCTGACCTTTTATTTATTAAACGAATTTGAATATTAACCTGTTAGCTTATCAAGAAGTTCAAACAAGTAGCTTTTTTTACATCTCCGAACTTTTCCTCAACTGCTTAACTTAAATTCTTACTTTCTTCATCCCAATTTAGGAAAAAATTTCCAATTCTGTATTTGTCTGATTTGAACAAATGTCTCTTTGCTGTTTTTTTTGCATTTTTTCTAAACTATTACTTCCTTTGCCTCAATGATCAGATTCCAATATAAAAATGATGCTGTTACAGCTACAAACTGATTTTAGGTCTTTAGGTGGCTCTGTAATAGTAAATCCACTAAATGTGCAGGTTCAACATCAGTTAGGATGCTCATGTCATGAGGCAGGGCTCAGACCAAAACTAAAATGTAAAAAGGCCACCATCCCAATATTTTGGCATACTCTTTTAACATCAGGTTCTTTAATGATGCCTGAAATAAATCAGATAACATATTTTTCAGTCTTAATGAAAACCACTGTATTGTCTCAGTTTTTCAACCCATTACATAAACAAACATTAAATTAAAGAGCTGGTTTGTTTATTCAAAACTAAACAAGAAAGAACATGAGGAGTTTTGAACTTTATCAGAACGAATTAATTAATCTGCCCTTTTCTGCAAAATTATAACGTTAGAATGTTAAAAGAATTATTAAAATGATATCAGGTTTTAAATACTGTTTAAAAACTCTGCTCCATTTAAAATCTGTTTTATATTCTTTCATTTCCTGCAGGAGGAGACAAATCCACCCGTTTCTTTATTGGACATCTACAATTCATGGTTAAAGTTAGTATTTTTATAAAATAAATATATTAATGATTTTTGTTTTTTGTTTTTTTCAATAACATGGACACAAATGATTGTTTTTACTCCTGACAGGAAAGGCTGTCCTAACTCAGCAAAAGGTTCCAAATCAGGAAAAAGAAAGACCCCCTCTGAAGGTACAGCTTTTATTTTTCCTCAAAGGTATTACAATTTTAGAAATTAGTAAATCTCTTAGATAACTTTTATTTCCTATCCCTTTGAAAATATTTTATCATAACAGCCAAGTCAGCCACAGCAAGAAAGAAAACAGAAAAAACTGTTAAAAACCCAGCTTCACCAAAGAAGGTAAACTTTTCATCATCCTCCATTTCTTTCTGGGACTCTATCTAAATGTTTCCAATCATCGTTATTTGTCTCTTTTCTTAAAGACTGTTGCAGCAAAAAGAAAAACAACTGAAAAGTCAAGTCAAGGTTATGTTAAAGCAAAGAAATCTAAGCTTAATGCGTCAGAGAAAGCTGCTGCTGAGGGGAATGGATCGGACTCTGACAGCAGTCTGGACGTAGAGAAGTGGAAGAAGCTGCTGGACCAGCTGACAGGTGGGAGAACATTTGTAAAGTTTATTAGCTTTTTTTGCAAAAAGAATATTCAAATCTCACTGCACTCTTCACAGAAGTATTCATATCCATTGGACATTTTCTACTGTGTCCCATTACAACTATAAACTTCAATGTTTTCAATGTTCCACAATTGAGGAATAAAAAGGACCTTTTTTTTTTTTTTTTTTACAAGAACTTAAGGTTGTGGCATTTATTAATAATCAGCCTTGCTGAGTCAATAATTGCTGCAGTTACACTACAGAATGTTTCTACCACCCTTGCACATCTGGAGAGTGGATTTGTGGTCTGATAGGATAGATAGAATGAGGGAACATCTGTTTTCAAGTCTTCCAGCAGATAAAATTTAGTTCTGAACACATAAATGGGCTGTACTCTGAGGCATTTCGTTGTGCTGCAGCTCTGGCTGCATGCTAACAGTTTTTACCCTCCTAGAAGCTATTTGGTAGATTTTTCTAGCATTTCCTGATGTTCAGCTCCATTGTTTCTTTCCATCACCTCTGACCAGCTTCTTTATCCCTCATAAATGTTATTTTTCTGGAGCCTGATGTTGCCGTCATCATGCATAATATTATATTGTTCTTTTTAGGGTTTTAGTTTTCCTCTGGCCATAACTACTTTGGAAGCAAATGTGTCTCAATTTCCTAATTAAATGGATTAATAGAAATGCTTTTCCATTTTCAAAATAATGATTAATTTCTTGATTAATAGATAAAATGAAACATAGATCATCCAAATTGCATGTTCTTATTAAGAATGCTAATTTTGTGGATTAACTAAAATTATAAATACAAAAATATTTACCATTTAATTGGTATAAATGAAAAAGAAAAAAATGGACCAAAATTCATTTTTGAAATTTACAAAATTACAAAAAAGTAAAAGCTGCATCCTTTCTTTTAAGATTAGCAATAAACCCAAACTGCATTTTCTTTTTTCCAGGACCGTTAATTTAGTTTCTTAATCCAAAAGTTAAATAAAAGGACATTTTGAATTTATATTTTCAAAATGTCAAATTTGAAAAAGATGCATTAATAAAAAGTGCATTTTCTTTTCATGTCAAAGCTGCAGTTTTTTTAATCAAGTGAAGTTGCTCATAGATCATCCAGACTCATTTTCTTCTTCAAGATTGCTAATTGTGAGACAGAACAGAGAAAACTATAAGCAAATTGCTGTTTGGGTTTTCATGCAAATAGTGTTTCACGAGTCAATTTGAATTGGCAATTCCAAGCAACGCTGGCGAGGGGACAGGTCAGGGGCAAGGCTGTTTATACTACACTATTACACATCTTGGATGTTGGGGGGCAAAAAGGAAGACGGAAGCCCATTCATTTTTCTCCATGTCAGCTTTCCTGCAGGCAGCAATGCGCTCCTTCACGCCATCACACAGTCCTTGTTAGAATTAGCAGTTAAAGGTCATATCTCACTTAAATGATTGGTTTGATCAGATTAGATTAGATCAGAGCTAAACGTTTTTTCTGCTAAGAAATTTTTATTTTAATTTAACATTTCAAATTTTTGGATTGGGAAACAAACTAAGTAGTCCTGTAAAAAAGAAAAATAAAATGTAGTTTGGGTTATCAATTGCTAATTCTATACAAGAATAAAAAAATAAATAAAGTTTGACTTTAAGATGGAAGAAGCATTTCTATTAATCCATTTTAGAGCACCTTTTAGCAAATGTTTGTGTCTCCTACCAACTAATAGGACTTCTTCTCTCAACATTGTGCTATGAAGGCCAAATTGGTGAAAGTGGATTCCTTATAATTGTCCCGTCAACAAGTTATTTTGTCAGGTCCAAGTAATCTAACTCCAACTGGATCATTATACCAAGTTTGTTTGCTGTGTCTCTGCAGAGGTCGACATAGCCAAGATGGAGACCATCAATGCACTTGCCTCCCCTAAACCCCAACCAAAGAAAGCACGAGTCAGGAAACCACGAGCTAAACCCGTACCCAAAGCGGAACCTCCTGTCCAGCAAACGGGGGAGACGAAGGGACAGATGGAGAAGGATGAGAAGGAAATTGCGACACAGACGCCGCGAAAGGAGAATATGGAAAAGAAGAAGGGACACAAAGAAGAACATGCTGCACATGTTGCCACCCCAAGTACAGTGACCCATAGTAAAAAAGTAAAAAATGTAGTGGAGGGGCAGGTTTCATCCACACTTCCAGCTGAAAAACAAAGACCGTTAGACGAAATATTAGTCCCTGAGGGGAAAAAAACAGACGAGGAGGCACCTGAGCCCAAGAGAAAAAAGAAGAAGAAAAAGGAAAAGGAGGGAAATGAGGACAAGACAGACGGGAAACTTGATGAGACAAATTGTGATAAAAAAGACGAAGAGATGAAGCCAAAGAACGCAGGTGAAACTACTGAGCTAGAAACAAAGATCCTGACTGAGGAAGGAAAGAACAGTAATAAGAGTGAGAATGTTTCCCAGTTAGTTTTACAGAAAAAGAAATTGAAGAAGAAGGAAAAAGAGAAATCCACAAGAGATGAAAATGTAGATCAAATAGATAAAAAGTCCAAGAAAAAGGAATATGATGGGAATTTAGAACTGGAAGCTGAAGAAATAAATCAAAGTACAAATACAGCTGGAAGCGACACAAGATCCGAGCAAGAGGTTCAGGATAAAAAGGCTAAGAAAAAAAAAGAAAAGAAACATAAGGAGGGAAATGTAGAGCATGCACCTCCGGCAGAAGAAAGAAATGTAGAGCTTAATGTTGAAGAAAAAGACAATTTAGAGCAAATTACTAAGAAAAAGAAGGAAAAGAGGAAAACCGCTAATGTAACCGAATTACATGAAAATAAAGAAAAAAAGCAAAAGGGGGATGATAATGAAGGGAATTTAGATAAAGTTGATGAGGATTTAAAAGCAGAGACAGAGAAAAACTTAGACACAAGTGAAATTCAAAGCGACAAGGAATCGGAGCAGAATGTTCAGAGAAAAAAAAAAAAGAAAAAGAAAGAAAGAACTGATCTGGAAAGAAATGAAGAGCATGTAACTGTCCCAGAGGAAGAAAATAATGAACAAAAAGTTGAAGAAAACAGAAATTCAGAGCAAATTGGTGAGAAAAAGAAAGCAAAGAAGAGAAAAGACTCTCTTGGCAGTAGGGAAATCCCAGAGGAAGGAGTGGGAGAGCAAAAAAACAAAAAAAAGAAGGCTGATAAAGAACATTCACAGCAGACGGTTCAAGAAGAGAAGACAGAGGATGAAGTTGGGCTTACTGACAATAAATCTACATCGGAAACTGGCGAGCAGAGCCTGGAAACCACAAGTCATCCAAAAAAGAAGAAAAGTAAGTCAGTGGCTTCATGGAATCATGGCTGTCTGAAGTTTTTCTGAGGTTGCTTACCATTATTGTGTTAATCTTTCAGAAAAAAGCAAAATAAAATCAGATGAGGTCCCAGAAGACATTGAAGATTCTACACTGGATATCTCAACTTTAGAAACGAACTCGGCTGACGTCCACAAAAAGGTACGTAAACATCCAAGATTAGCTCTTTGATAAATTCCCAAATGATCAATGTCAGCATTATCGAATCATAACCTTAATTATCGTTTTTTTTCTCCTCCACAGAAAAAGAAGTCTAAGAGCAAAGAGTCCTGACAAGAACCAGCTTCATCAGCCTGTAGAAGCTGAGGATGAAGCCATGCATAGTTTCTAACCATGACTACATGGGTAGAAGGTCCCAATGAAAAACTAGACAAAAACGGACTTTTTAATTTTGCTGCATGTTTTACTTTAAGAGTATTTTTAAGCACTCTGTAACACGTTTTTAACATGCTCTGTGGATGAGAATTTTAAGATGTTTTGGATGCATTCTCTGAACCAAGACCTTGGATGGAGTTAAAATTGACTCCAAAGCAAATGGGAGAAATTGCTTGAATACATGGGGGGCTTAAGACCTGTAATTATTTACTTCAATGTGATTTCTGTAATATATTTATATATTTTCAAATTATGGAGAAAAAAAAAACATTTTTTTAAATTGTCAAAATCAGGTGTTTACTTTTTTTTTTTTTTTTAGAAAAAGGTTGATTTATTACAATTTAGACTGTATGTGAAAAAGGTGTAACTTTCCAGGTGGACTGGATGTGGATCGAATGGCTGTAATGGAGAAACAAATGTGTCTCTGTTCACTTTTATTGAACTGTTTATATCCATACCTGTGAATTTACAGAAAATTATATAATTCCATTTTTATTTTTTGCATGGTATCTAAATGTAATTCACCCCTCAGTCTTTGGGGTGAAGATGAGCTGCATCAAGAAGGAAATTCAACTAAAAACTTTGTCAAGTTTGTACGTAATAATGTTATATTAACTTGCAATGACTTGCTTTGGAAACCTCTGACTGAGGGAAAGGCCAAATAGGTTTTTTTTTTTTAGAATTTTTTAGAAAATTTTTCTACAAAGATACAACATTTCAGTGTAAACATCAGTTTTGTATTAAAGTGTTTTTGTCTTCCTTCTAGTGTTGTTTCCTTTAGAGTACATCCACACTAGATTACTTTGAATTCAAAAACTGTATTAATTTAATTGATGCTCTTAACCTAGAAGACATTACAAAAAATAAGATGTAAACATGCAAGTTTCTTTGGCATCACTTTCTTGTTATAACTTCAGGCTTTTCACAGATTAGATTGGTAAAACACTCAAAATATATTAATATTTTAACCCAGTATTCTACAAAAAATAAACTTTAAATCTGAGGGCATTTATTTAATGTGTTTATAATATTGGATATTTTTCTTTTGTCAAAATCAACACCTCTTGGTTTGTGATAGTTATTTTAAAGAAAGCGACTTTCAATCATTGTTATAGACTCCATTTGTCATCTGATAACACAAGAAAAATTCTGTTAATACATGAATATCTGTTTCTAAGGTAAAAAAGGAGCCTAGTGTGAAGTTCAACTGAAGAAACTGGTGCTCTTCTACATCCACCTACGACACTCAGCTTTGAACCACACCTCCACGAAGCCAATCAGCATCCAAAGTTCATCTTGCAAGGCCTCCGATCCACAACTTGTCTGCTCCTTTGCGCAGGCGGTGGATGCGCTGTGTGGCTTTGTTTAGATGACCTAGTTTCTACCCACCTCCAGCCCCTCCTCCACCATCTTAGCTAAACTTCATCAGAGTTTCATTACTCCCGGACTCTTACTGCATTTTGCGTCTCATTTCAACCGGTCCGGCCGAAGGTTTCTTCCCAATGGGGAGTTTTTCCTCTCCACTGTCGCTCCATGCTTGCTCATCATGAACAGGTTCTCTCAACCTGTGTTAACCAACTGGACTTCAATCCTCCAGGTCCCTGAGTGAAGCTCTACTATCAGCTCATGCAGTCCACTGGATCTCCCCATAAAATTCAGTAGACCGTCTCGCTAACCAGCAGTCTACAGACTGACCAACTTCATCTATCTCCACTCCACCACCAGTTTCAGGCCTTGGGGCAAAACAGCCCTATTCTTCTCTCCTATTCATGCATATCTATCAAAATTCAGCTATATGTTTCCTGCCGAGATCTGAGCACCAAAGACCAAGTAATTGTATCAATAAATTTCTTCTAATTGTCTTTTCTCTTTGTGTCAGTTTTCTAGATTGAAATACATACTGATTATTCCATATTGAGTTTTCCACCATGGAAAGATAAAGGAAGTCATAAACTGCAGGTGTAAAAGTCTCTTGTTGTCATCAAACTGTAATGAACAAAGGTGTGTTTTTGGAAGTATATCAGGAGAAAAGTGCACTATTGTGGTCACAAATTTAAACCATGGGGTGTTTTCTTTTTTTGGTGGGCTTTGATTGGAACTGTTTGCTTTGATCAAATGACACTATTCATAAAAAGAACTTTCAGATTTGACATAAAACAAAGGAAGATTAATACTTTACACACACTTTAACGTATGATGGGGGATCTGTGATGCAATGGGCCTGTTTCTCTCTCAAAGACAATGGAAGCTGTTAATGCATGGTATTATAAACTGAAATACTATATCATCATTGATAAAAGCCTGTTCGACTCTGAAAGTAGATCTTTCAGCAGAATAACTCACAAGCATACGGGCAAAACAGTATGTATCCCATGTCTACATTGGTCCCCAAACCTAAATTCTTTTAAAAATAAAAACAAATTTTGGTGAGCTAAAGAGATTAGATGAGACCATGTGATGTAAGTCTATATGTTTTAGAGAGGATTTGGTTAGACATTCCTCTCTTTGTGTAGTTAATTATAAATTAAATCAAAGGAGTACCTACAGGCAAAAGAGGTTGCTCAAAATGTGTGAAACACTGCCCCCTACTGGTGACCTGCGGGGAGATAGGGTTTTCTAAAATGCGTGTCCCTTTGAGCTAAAAGACTAAAAGTTTTTACTTCTATATCCAAAATACCAACAAATGTTCCAACTAAGTGCTTATGAAACGTTTTTTCAGGTGTTGTGCAATGTTCCACTCGGCGGCGAAGGTCTTTTAAAGGACGTGAAACAACAGCAGAGGTTCTAATCTTCACACTCCAATCCACAGGGTGGCAGTAAAGCGCACGCCATGTTGTTTACCCACCGCAAAAGGAGATGAAACAACAGCAGATCTTCTAATCTTCCACAGAGTGGCAGTAATGAGCACTCCATGTTGTTTACCCACCGCTGTAAAATACGAAGAAGAGCTTTAAAGCAGTGACTGCCATGGTTACAGTTCTGAACTTAAAGCATCGGCTGTAACGTTTCGTTTATAATTATCTGTGTTTGTTCCCGGTGAAATGTGGAGACTAAACAAAGTTCGCTACAAAACTGGTCAACATGCTGAAAGCCTGGAGGAGTTCAGGCTCAGGAGGAGAGAGAAAGAAAGAGGTGAGTGACAACACTCAGCTGCCAAAGCTGTATGCTAAGAGAATGGAAGGGATGTATATGGAAAAAAAACTTAGTACATATTAACTGATTTTATTTATTTATTTATTTTTAAAGGAAGGCAGTATACACTTACACTTTGGTTCAGTTTTTTTTCTGATCTATAGCCCACAGATCTGTAAACAGGATGCTAAAGAGGAATAATAAAAGCAGTAGCTGCTGTTGATGCTTTTTTTTTTTTTAACTCCTTTATCACCAATATCGCCATCATTAACTTCACATTTCGGTTATTTTTCAATGCTTCTTTTGTCCGTTTAATTATTCAGCTTCAGGATCCATGTGCCTCTGTTTACTTTTTAGAGTTAAACCCTTTAGCAGAACAGGTAGGTTAAAATTAATGAATATGAAACGTTATCTGGAAAAGAAGCGATGCTGAGTCTCAATCATTTGCAAGACCAGAGAAGATGCCTCCTGTACAGGGATGAGACACAAGCAGCTTTGAGCTTAGATCTAAACCAAGCAGATCAGCATAGAGCCATCATACCAGCTATGAGGCATAGAGGTGGAGGGACAATGATTAGGTCTTGATTCCTGTGTTCTTCTCTGTGTACTAAATTATTCTAGTGCAGGGGTTCCCAAACATGAGAGTCCCAGTGATTTGCAAACACAGCAGCAGATATACAAGATGAGTGGTGAAATAGAAAATGAATCAGTGGCTTAATCAAAATTTCATACATTAACTTTATCTAAAATGTGGGATTTGGCCTAAAATGATGTTTTTTAAATGTCAATGAAGGTAAAGAAACACTAGAATTTGTGGAACACTCCATTTTTCCTGATAAGTGTGATTCTAGTGTTGAATCATACACTTTTTTTTATACATGGGTTTTTCGGTTTTACCTTATTTACCATATAGCTACCTAATTTAAAGTATGTTCCTGTGAAGTATTACTTGAAATACAAAAAGGGGTGTGTTGGCACTTTCCCGTAACTGTATGTGTGTCTGTTTTCAATAACAAATGAAAATAAGGTGTACACACAAAAAGGAAAGAGGTCTTTTGACTGTGAAATAATGACTGTTTTTTAATCCAATATGGGATCACTGGCTAATAGTTTGGCAGCATGAAGCACAATATCTGATCAGAAACTAAAAAATAATACAGGCCTATTTCTGTTCTAGCTATTTTTTGACTGCCTCACTTTTATCTGGAAAGCTGTACACTGTGATGGACTTCTGGTTGATCTTTAAAACATTGTGGGGTTTATTGATTTTTCTGCTTCAGCACTCAGGCAAGCTCGCAGAGATAGACAACTTGTCAGCAAGAGGCTCCTTCTTAATGAAGATGAAAATGAAGAACAGGACACTATGGAGATAACTCCTGGAGAACTGGTAAACCTCACTAGCTTTAGTCTCTGCCTGGTTGGACATTATAAGAAAATGAGGATTTTCTTTTTTCTCAGGATGTGGTCAGCTTGTTCCATAAGCTGCAGCAAAGCGGCACAGAAAAAGAGGCCTATATAAGAGCCCTTAGTAAAGCTCTTAGGGACCCATCAGCTCAACTCATCTTCATCAAGTAGGGCTCATCATCAGTCGCCATAAAAGTGGGTTCAGTCTTTTTAACCCCTGATGAACCATATGTTTGTGATCTTGTCTCATCAGGCTAGAGAACAGCATTCACCTGCTTGTCAGCCTCCTCACTGGCTCTGACGCTCGGTGCCGTCTGCAGGCGGTTCGCTGTCTTCATGAGCTGTCCCACTCCCCCCACCCCGGCGTGGCGACCGCCTGTCTTCCTGCCACTCCCTATCTGCTCACATACCTATCGGGCCAGAGCACCAAGTTCACAGTGGGTGCTCATCCACCCCAGATGGTCATTAGTTGGTAGAAGAGTTTTTTTTTATTACAGACTATTTCTAACTTGTATGTTTATTTCTGTGCAGGAGCTGTGTCTGTACACACTGGGTAATATATGCCCAGAGAGTGAGGTTGTGAAGGAGAGGCTTCTGGCCCAGGGAATCATACCAGCACTAGCCAGCTGTATACAGGTGAGCTATAAGTTCAACAT